AGCTTTCATTTAATAAGGTTAAGCATCTAAATCATGCTACAGTTGTTGTAACTCTTTTTGGCACTTCCTTATTTTTTAATATAAACAAAGCAAAAAAAAAAAAAAACCCAGAAAGAAAGAAAAAAACCAAGCAGCCTCCGTGAAGCCTAAGGTTTCAATAGCGTGGTGTATATGAAGTGAACTTTAATTTCTATGAATTTTTTATTTAAAAAGACAGCATCCAAGGAAACTTACATGCATATTACTAAGTGAAAGAAGCCAATCTGAAAAGGCTACACAAAATGTATGATTCCAACTATACGACATTCTGGAAAAGGCAAAACTATAGAGACAATAAAAGGACCAGTGACTGCCAGAAGTTGGCAGGGAGGGAGGGATGAACAGGTGGAGCACAGAAGATTTTTAGGGCAGTGCAATTACTCTGTATGACACTATAATGGTGAACACATGTCATTATGTATTTGTTCAAACACACAGAATGTACAACATCAAGAACGACCCTCATGTAAACTATGGACTTTAGGTGATGATGACATGTCCATCAACGTAGGTTCACCAACTGTAACAAATGTACCACTCTGTTGGCCTGTGCCCCACAACCAGCTGCTGACAGCCAGGTGTGCGCCTCCACACTTCCTTCCCCAAAGAAATTGATAAAACCTAGGAAATCCAATAATATGGCCAGGTCCATGCCTGATCACATGCCTGAGAAGTCTACCAGACCTCAATCCCTGCCCATGTGCACAGAGCTTCTAATTTGCTTTTCAGACCCATTCCTAAATATAAACAAAGAGCCAAGGACCACAAGACATTTGAGGAGACCCTCCAATATAAAAGAGAGAGGCCAAAACAAATAGAAGGAGGAACCCAGAATAAACAGAGGCATGCAGGAAACAGAAAAAAAAGCAGTACAGAAAAGAATGAGGAAAGATTCTAAACTCATGAACTAAATACAGGATGCTGTATTTTAAAAATTAAAAAAAAAATCATAGAATAAGCACAATTTTTTACAAATTAAAAATATAAGAGCAGAAGTTAAAAGTTCAATAGAAAGTCTGAAAGATATAAGTTGAGGAAATATACAGAAAGTAGAAGAAAAAGACAAAGAGAAAACAAGAATTACTGAAAGAAGAAAAAAGAAAAACAGAAAACTTATCAATAAAATAATGTAAGAAAGTTTCTGAGAAATAAAAGACACGATTATCCTGATTGAAAAGGCCCAGCAAGTACCCAGCACAGAGAGTAAAAAAAGACCCACGCCAAGGCATAGGCTGCAAACTGTCAAAGCGATGGCAATAAAGAGGAAACTGTAAAAGCTTCCAGAGAAAGAAAAAGAAAAAGGTCGCACGACACTAAAGAGGGAGGGAGGGTGGAAAGCAGGATGGCATTAGATTTGTTTGCTAAACTGTTCAACCACAACACCGGAAGCCAGGAGGTAACACAGCAATGACACCCAATATCTGAGGGAGAATACTTCCAGCCTGGACTGCTCCGCCCAGGCAAACTCCAAACAAGTCTGAGCGTACTAAAGATAAAGATGCTCGCAGACACACAAGGTATCCGAACAGGTACCCTCACATTCCCTTCTTCTCAGGAAGCTACTGGAAGATGAACTGTAGAAGGGAATAAAGCAAGAAACTCCCTGAAATGAAGGAACAACCCCACAAGAGGATGTCACAGCATCCAGGAAACATGGAATTAGACACAAGAAACAAGCAAAGGGACTTCCTAGGCTCAAGGTCCAGGGAGCCGCAGGCGACGCTGCACAGTAAGCCTAGAGCAAGCAGTCCAGACCAGGGCAGAAGAAAGGGAAGCGATGCCTCCAAGAGGAAGAGAGAAGGACAAGGATGGACGAGAGGGAAGGAAGTACAACAAAATGTGTTTGAATGCACTAGGAGAAGATTTGCCATCCACCAGAGAGTTTGGAAATGAAATCATGAGAGATAAATCAAAAAGTAAATAAACAAAAATACATTAACTCTAGGGGGGAAAAAAAACCACCATTTTATTCAGTAAAGGAAATAGAATATAATCTCAGCCAGAAACAACAGTTACCTAGTCATAATAATAAAAACACTGAGCATTAATTTACATAAAAATTATAATTTAAGTACACAGGGACAATAATAAGGGAGCAAAACCAGGATGGGGCAGGGTTATAAGAGAACTAGCCTCATAGTCCATAGTAGGGAATTCATAGATATCTTAATTATCAAAGCATGACAGTATAAACATGTTATTAAGAAGTATGGAGGTGACAGCAGAAGAAACAGCTAAGACTTGAAAGTGACTGTTATCAGGGCAAAAAGTTCTAGGTGGGGAGGGGGTGGCGTATAACCAGAGGCAGAAAGAAATACAGTACTAGTCAACTGTTTAAAGTATGTTTATATTCTATTTTGATAAAGATAAAACTTGAATTAAATAAATGAACCACAGGGTGTTCAGGCCTTGCAGACTATTCCCTCGAGAAGCTTAAATATCCCAGAAAAAAGAATAAACTGGTCCAGACATGGTACTTTTTATTACATATTTTTAAGTTTGGAGAAATTTTGAAAGGGAAGAAACGATAAAGAAGAAATTATTTAGTGGCAGAAAGGAGACGAGGCATTTGAAGGAGCAAGGTTTCCGAGGCGGCAGGGGCAAGGGGTCTGGGGCATGTGTATCCAAATTAGGCCTCGATGGGGCCGGCCCCCGTGGCTTAGCGGTTAAGTGCACGCACTCTGCTGCTGGCGGCCCAGGTTCGGATCCCGGGCGCACACCAACGCACTGCTTCTCCAGCCATGCTGAGGCCACGTCCCACATACAGCAACTAGAAGGATGTGCAACTATGACATACAACTATCTACTGGGGCTTTGGGGGAAAAATGGAGGAGGACTGGCAATAGATGTTAGCTCAGAGCCGGTCTTCCTCAGCAAAAAGAGGAGGATTGGCATGGATGTTAGCTCAGGGCTGATCTTCCTCACAAAAAAAAAACAAAACCAAATTAGGCCTCGATAGAAAGACAGACAGCTCATCCCCTATGGTCGGCATAGAGGATGGAGAAGAATCAAAGAGCAAAAAAAATTACGTAAGGAAGAAACTTACCTCATGGGTAGGGGGTAGAGACATTGCTTGATAGTCTCTACTTTGGGGTGAGGTAGGGGGCCAAGGAAAATTGTGAATGTTTGGGAAGGTACCACAAGAAAATGTTAAATTCAATTTCATCAAGTAAATATGATCTTAGATCAAGAATGGACACACACTGGGGCCGGCCCCGTGGCTTAGCGGTTAAGTGCGCGTGCTCCGCTACTGGCGGCTCAGGTTCGGATCCCCGGGCGCGCACCAACACACCGCTTCTCTGGCCATGTTGAGGCCGCGTCCCACATACAACAACTAGAAGGATGTGCAACTGTGACATACAACTATCTACTGGGGCTTTGGGGGGGAAAAAAACAAAAAAAGGAAGAAGATTGGCAATAGATGTTAGCTCAGAGCCGGTCTTCCTCAGCAAAAAGAGGAGGATTAGCATGGATGTTACCTCAGGGCTGATCTTCCTCACCAAAAAAAAAAAAAAGAATGGACACACACTGTCTTAACTACAGTATTTGTATTCAGTCACACCTCTATGTTCCCATAATACTTTTAACGCTTACCATAGCATGTTCACACTAACACTTCAAAGGATTGTGTTTTCACTAAACTATGAATCCTCAAGAACCGTCTTATCCATTTGTATACAACCAACACTCACTCACCATGGTGCCTGATGGGAAATGCATTTCTGTTGTATAGATATACAAATATTTTATTTCCAGAAGTACAAAAGCATGTCAACGTACCAACACATGATTTTTATATGTCAGAAGTCGGCATTCAATAATTTTACTATATATTTAAAAAATAATATATAATGTCCCATCATAGATAACCCCCCCAAAAAAAATTCCCATTTAAGTTTAAATGTATACCTGAAGCTGACTCTGACTAAGTACATATAAAACCTAGAATCTGTTTGGGGTGATGTCCATTTTTTCACTAAACTCAGAAGAGCAGGGAAGACTACACGAATCTATGACTATCTCATAGCTGCTAAATTGAAGTTCAGGAACATTCACAACGAACAAAAAATCCATTGGTGGTCATCCATACCCGCCCTGCCCAACAACAAACCTGAAGATCTTACAGTTTGATTATCGATTCAGAATTAATTTGAGCACAGTCTCTGATTATTAAGCACTTCCTAATATTTCAACATACTCTAATTTTACATTCTTTCCAAGAGGGAAATATAGTTATTACTCACTATGAAAAGCATGATATCAATGCTAATTTTTAAACTTCTGCTTTCCTCTCCCATCCATTTAAGCCAAAAACCAATTTCCTTGATAATTACCCAACATCTTTTCCACTACAGATTTCAGATCCATCTCAAATAGGTTCAGAGGGGAGGAGGGGAGTTACAAAATAAATAAATAAAAGCAAGAGTTTTGTTTGCTATTTTAGTCTTTTGCTGAATTTAGAGGATGTTTTTGATTGATATTAGTTAAAATTCTCCTTGTCATATTAACAGAGTAGAGAAAATTAATTTGAAAAGTCTACCTTGAATGCCAGATTATGTCAATAAATCCTAATCTTTAGTTTTACAACGCAGTAAAACAGAGAATTATGATTACGTAAATGATTTAAGCTCATCAACAATGTAGGACAAAATGCTGATTGGTGCACCTGTGTATACTTTTTCTCAAATTCCACAAAGTGTAAGCTGACCAACTCAGAGTGTTCCAGTAACATCATACAACACAGAACAACCAAACTGACATCTTCATAATTTCATCTTTTTATCCTTTCAACAATGTTTCAGAAAATAATTCCAAACACTACACTTTATAATATATAAAGGTATCCTGACAATAGAGCTAGGTCATGCCTACCTTTAAGGTCATACAAGCTAAACGAGAGTTCACTAGCTCCAAGATGACTTCTAGTTTACAAGAGCACACACAAGCGTCTTCTAAAATACCTGATTTTGACTTCAGGATAACCTGAATGGTGTGTCCATCATTGGTGACTTCGCAGTCTCGGCAGACCACGTAATTTGGCGACAGGCGGACATCCAGCAGGGAGGGGTCATATCTAGCTTCTCTTGAGTTTAGGTTAATGGGAGACTGGTATTCCCCATTAGCATCAGGAAACACCAAGCCCCACTCAACACCTAAGGACAAAATGAAGCAAATTTAGAACAGGTTAAAAATATGTTACAGTGAAATTTAACACCTAAAAACTGGTTTAAACACTGTTATGACCCTGAACATTATTAAGAGGGTTATGACTGCCTCTATATAGAAGAAATGTGGTAAATGTGTGTGAATTTTACATTCATATTTCCAATGATCTAATGTTATCAAACACCACATATATAATCCTGGACTAACAAAATATTCTGTCTGTATTTGTCCACATAGATGTAATAATTATGATCCTAGGAAATTTAGGTCATCTTTAAGTGATTAGGAAAAAAATAACGCCACAAAAATTTCCTCTGCTCATTAGCCCAATTATGTGCAGTACTTGGAAAATAGCTGTAACTCTCAAAATGCCTGGTGAGAGCCAAAAACCATAAATCTGATGCTAGTGAATAAACACTTCTTATCAGAAGTGCAAATGCGGTATTTTGAAGTGTGCCTGTGAATATACACATACCTATGTATTCATACATATATACTCTTCCATATTTTTATAATTAAAATTATATATTACACATTTCTTTCAGTATATGTAGTCAGCATCAGCAATAGTGGTCAGCTCCATTAGGAGACCTACACGCCCAGGGATAAATTTAGGAAACTAAACTTTTTCAAAAGTCAGCCCCCTTCTCGCCAAGCCCACTGATTCAGGCTGAAATTGAGGACATGTTTAGAAGTTGAGCCTTGTTAGTATCCTTCAGGAAAAGCGAGAAACTAATGGTTTCACTAACACGGTATTCTCAACGTGTTCAGTAAAACGTAACGCCACTGTTCTTAGCTACTTGGAAGAGAGAAATGTCACAGCCGCGGCTTTAAAGCTCGCCCTCCGGAAGGCGGCAGGTGCCAACTGCTGCCCGGCAGGAAGGCCAGGCTCCCCACGCGAGCGCAGGGGCGGGCACGCCCGCTCTCCCTGGAGCGCATTGTGCCCTGAAACTGGCCAGGGGACTGGGAAAGCGACAGAGCCCACGTGGGAAGGAGGGGACGCGGGTGCAGACGGGACACACACGCGGCGCGCGGCATCCCGACGCGCCGTCCCGGCACCCCGGCCACCTCGACACGCGGCCAGTTACCTTCTTCGTAGCCCCACTCCACACCCTCTTCCTCTTCCTCCTCATCGTCCTCCTTCTCCGGGAAGGCGACGGAATCTTCGATGAAGCTCAGGTCAGCCATGGGAAGACCGTGGATCCCCTGGGCGCTCTGGCCGGCGGGGCCTGCGCCTCTTCAGGGCAAGCGGGCTGGAGTGGGCGTGGGAGCGCGTGGGAGTGTGAGCGCGCGTGTCCAAGTGTGAGCGCGTCGGAGTGGAGGGTGAGCGTGTGACAGTGCGCGTGTGAGTGTGAGCGCGTGGGGGTGCGAGCGCGCGAGTGTGTGAGCCGAGAGCACGTGAATGAGTGTGAGCGCGTGTGGCGAAAGGCAGGTGGGTGTGAGCGCGCGTGCGAGCGGCGCTGGGCCGGAGTTTTCGGGCGGCCGGCGCGGGGAGCGCGTCCCGAGTGCCGGCGCAGCGCGCGAGAACCTGCAGCTCGGGGAGCGCCAGCCCGGCGGCTTATAAACCCGGCCGGGGCGTGTCCGGCGCCGGAGGATCCGCCCCCTTCGCTCGATGGCCGGGGGGCCAGGGCTTGGGCAGCAGGAAAAGGCCCGGGGGCTCCTGCCGAAGCCACGGAAGCGGCAGAAAGACCCCCGCCCTTACGGATGGGTAGACTCCCCGTCCAGCCCTCCCACACGGGCTGCTCCTGCTCGGCCTCCCGCGCTGCCGTCTGGAACCTCGCGAGTCACCTAAGGTCACCTCGGCACCCCTGTGAGCAGGGGCCAGGCCAAGGCCTGTCTACTCTTATTTTCATCCTTACTCCAGGAAATACCAAAAAGAAGGAGAGGGGGTGGGGAGGGGAGAGAGGGATTGTCTTGGGTAGGAGAAAAGAGAGGGCTGGGAGACCCCCTAACAACATGAAGTTTCCCCGCTCGGAATCTTCTTTACTGAGTAGTATTTGCTTTTTGATTCGTCCTCGGAGCACAGTGGAAACGAGTATAGAAAAATTTCCAAGAAACCTGTAGCTCCTAAAAACATTTAAGAAAAAATTTGTTGTAATCTAGAGAAGTAAGTATAATTCGGGAAAAATTTTCCATGAAAAAATATTATTTCAAAGGCAAAAGAGTTATGAAAGGCAATAAAGAAAGCGTGTTTGGTTTTGGTTTCAGACTCGGGTGCTGCTGCAGGCGCAGCTTGCTGTGTACACAGCTCCCGATCGGCTAGTGGAATCGTGTAAATAATGAAATGCACACATTGCATAACAAACAGGAACTTGCCTGATCCAAAGCGGTCGTATTATTACCTCTTGAACATGCTTGCCAATCCAGTGTTAATGACTTCAGCCCCCTATTCCAACCGCTTTTGAAAGCTTTAACCAATAACCCCTAAGCAGATTAATGCCACAGTTTTGGAAAGTATGTGTGCATAAGAAGCCCAGATTTGGACCTTAAGTAAAATTTATTTTTATATGATCTGTGCATGCACCAAAATGTCTGTTAGCAGTAAGCCCAGATTTGGACCTTAAGTAAAATTTATTTTTATATGATCTGTGCATGCACCAAAATGTCTGTTAGCAGTTTGAGTAGCGAACTCCTAAATCATACCATCCTTGTGAATGCTTAATTTCTGTATAAGGATGGAGATGCTGAGTTTGGGGACTTTCAGGTTCTGTGCTCCTAGCCTTCACTACCTGCTCAGCCCTCCACTTTTTTTTCAAAAAAGCCACTTCACAGGCTGTTAGAAATTTCTCCAGAAAGTGGATTGGGACTGAAAGAGGAGGAAAAAAACTCAAACCTATCAATCTGCCACATTTTGGAACATTTAACAAGATAGGTGAAAACTATTGGTCAACTTTAGCTTTGAGGATAACCTGTGCATTTCATGTAATTCGTGTAATTTCTCTTTCCCCTTATCGCAGAGACCAGAAAGTCCGCCATTCAGAGGACTGAGCCACAGTCTGAGAGAGACAATTCATTCTTCACTCACTGCCTTCTGGATTTTCTTGGGTAGATAGCCTCTCTCCTCTGCATGTTAGTAAGCCTGGGCTTGACAGAAGCAGAAGTCTACCCTAAAGTTATAGCTATTAAAAATAATAAACACTACCCAAAATATTAACCACTTCCCACTGAAGTTCTTCTAAAAGGAGCATTTCATTTCTTTTTCCTTTCTTGAAAACTTTTTCTCAATCTTGAAATCTTATTAAACTTTCTTTTTAGAAGTGTGTTCACACATTAATCACATACTGCAGCTAATGGATCCCGTGGAAGTTTCCTTAATAAAATCATTTTCCCACCCTGAGCTCATCAGCAGTGTTCATTTCTCTCTGCCGCCGGATGTACCGAGATGCTGCATCATAGTCATTGTGTCACCACCAATTGCATTTAAAGTATCACATGAATTATAGTGATGTTTACCAAACCAGAGGACAGCAAAATCACCATGGCAAAAAACTCAGTTTTCCGTGAGTAAATGGTATGTCTTATTTATAGCAGATAGGCTGAAAGATTGAATTGTTAATATTGAATTTTGCAGCTAACAGACAATTTTGATTATAGCCAACAATATGTCACCATTCATAAATGCAGTTAACTACTAGACAAACATGTTTACCCATATTTGTTCTTTCTGATATTTCAACATCATGTGTATAATGTAACTCCTCTCTGCAAGCCTAGCATACCCTGTCCAGCAACACATGAGCCGTTCCACTCTGCATCCAGATATTCAATTAACAGCCTTAATTGCTTTGAGACTGTGTGCTTCAGATTTCTGCTAATTAACAGCACCTTAAGACCTTCTCTTCTCCGGTCCCTGTACTATATTATCACTAAAGATGGAATTTCTATTTCTAGTTGTTATAAGGTATCTGTCACCATAAAATCTAAACACACAGATCAAAGATATAGGCCAATTCTTTGATTTACAAAATAGAACAAGCACATCTAAATCTAATATCAGAGAATCTAAAAATATTCATGTTCTATATTATGAACATAAGTACTCCACATATCCCTCTATATAATTTTTAATGCATTTCAACCTAATATACTTGATTCCTTAAATTAAATTTATATTACTCACTTGAAGTGTTTGCATAGCTGAGGTCAAATCACATCAGAAGAACCATTTATTAAAACTAAGGCCTATATAACTAATTACTATTTGCTACTAAAAGAATAGAAATAGAAATAGCTAAAAGGGACAGGGTAATCTAGAAGTCAAAAGAACAAAGAGATATTAAGATTGCTTCACAGCATCCTGTACCTACACAACTCTCTCCTCCCAATCTTTTCTCACCCTCTGCCTACCTTACCAAGCTTTCTTATTGGATTGGTGAGTTTTGGCCCTAGAGTACTCATAAACAATTATTACCTTCTTCTTGTGTGAACTTATGCTCTGGAAACACCAAGGATAGAGCTAAATATTCATGTTAAATAGCTTCTAACCAGATTGTAAATTTATGAACTTCAACAACAATGAATTGTTTTCCTTTACGTGCGCTGCTCCACACTAAGCACTGTGGGAGACCCCAAAATGAATAAAACACCATTTCTACCTGCAAGGAATTTACAGTTCTCTTGGAGGAAAAGTAAATTATATTAACTATAATAAAGGCAATATGTTAAATAGAGATACAAGTACCATTATATCTAACAAAGATGCAGTTCATACACATGAGAATGATCAAGGAAAGTTTCTTGGAAAAAATGTCATTTGAGGCAAACCAAAAAAGACAAATAGGATTTTGGTGAACAATGTGTGAGCGAATAGTATTCCAGGTATGAGCAATGATGCTGAATAATGGAAGTGCTCGTTGTGGATCCATTTTCTCCTCGAAGTATCTTCTGTGACCTGCCAAAACCTATCTAGATTACTCAAAAACTGTGTGCTTCAGTGGGCTCGTGTCTGAAGTAAGACACTTCTCATGTTGTTTAGTTTATTATTCTGATTTTTGTTTTGTCAGTAAAGACATCAAAATTTTCCTCATTATATACATTTTGATTTCTGAAGGTTTTAATCTTTATTTATAAGGCAAGAAGTGCTGATTCTTTCATTCATATTTCTTTCTTCAACAGATTAACCTTAAAATATATATTTTGCCTGCTTGAAGTTGCATTTATAAGCCTACTTTTGTTTGACCTCTTCATGGTCTTTTGTCTTCAGAACCATCAGCTTTTAGTCTTGGAGTTCAGTAGCTGTGGTGAATTGTATTATTGTTCCTGTCATTTGCTGCCCCTCTCTGTGAGATTATACCTCTCTGCTTTGACCGATTAAATATGAGTAGAAGTGCATGCACCACTTCATAGCAGAAGCTTTAGGAATGTGGTTCCACCATAATTTTTGTCCCTCTGCCCAAAATTACCCAGTCCAAGAAAGGGACCACTCCTTCAGTCTGGATTCTGGAATGAAGAAGACCCATAGATCAGAGCCACAGCCAACCAGAAGTCGACATGTAATGTCAGTGAGAAATAAACCTTTGTTTTATAAGTGACTGGGATTTGGGAGTCGTTTGTTGCAGCGGCATATGCTAGCAAAAGCCGACTGTTACAGTAGCCCATCAGGTAAAGGTGAGTTCAAGGGTATTTTCATTTGCTCAAATGCTTTTCTTGCATGTCTTTTCTATTCAAATCAAAAGTACCTCTCTGGCCTGCAAGGAAACTAAACAGTCTAAAACAGTGCCCTTATCAACACCTTGCAAATTTCTTAGAAGCCCTGGCCCTAACTAGGATCCTCACAATCCCACCACTCAGTGAAAAGCCGTTATCTGTAGAAAATCCCTGTCTCTTCTAAGAAGACATGGGCCATAGCTCTCTTCACTTCTCTGAGATCACACCCATTATGCCTGGGACCCTACATCTACTTCAGCACCAAAATGACAGCAGCTAAAGTTGTGATGTTTGGGATCATTATATTGACCACTCTGAAATCTCCCTTCTCTAGGGACCCTTGCTAGTATTCTTCCAAATGAAACCCCTACTCAAGTGGTTAAAGTGCTTCCGTAGTACCCTGTACAGATCTCTAGCCCTGGAATGAAAACTGTGCTTTAAGTGTGTATTTTTATGACCTTCTCCTTCGATAGACAGTGAGCTCTCCAAGAGCAAGAGTTCATCTTATTCCTAGCATGTAGCACATGGTAGGCACTTAGGAATTAGTTTCCTTGTGCCACCAGCCATACAGTGATCTGATTAGCCTTTATCAATATATTAGTGCAATAAAAGTTCTGATTACTAAGGTAGAAGCTTTCAAGGTGCAGTAGGACCACAAAAAAGAGAGTGATCAAGTTTACTTGTTGGCAGGTGTGTCAATAGGGGCTTCATGAAGTGACATGTGAGTGGGTC